GTATTAATATATGATTGTAAAGCTACTGTACCATAAAAAGTGTATACCTGAACAAGGCACCTGCGGCACAATTTAGCACTGACTAGCGACTTGGCAATCCATCGAGCTGCGTAAGCGGCAGATCGGTCGACCTTAGTAGGGTCTTTACCAGAAAAGGCGCCGCCACCGTGCGCCCCCCATCCACCATACGTGTCGACGATTATCTTACGACCGGTAAGTCCAGCGTCACCGAGCGGGCCACCGAAGACGAACGAACCGCATGGATTCATGTGGAACACAGTTCTGTCGTCCAGGTACTTCTCTGGAATTACAGGCAACACTACCTGTTCTAACAGCTGCTGCCGAACTTGGTCCAATGGTATATCTGGACTGTGCTGCGCAGACATTACTACGGACTGAACGTGGATCGGCACACAGGCGCCATGGTCGATTCTGTACTTCACCGTTACCTGAGAATGAGCCATTTGGTCAATCGTTGTTGCAAATCTAAACCAGAACAAAAGAGAAGAGGTCTACTTGCGTCTTCGAATCAGGACGAGCCCACCATAACACCTTTTTCCGCCGCAGTTCGTGCAGTCGTTCGTTCAGTTTGTGTGCTAGCAATAAAGTCAACGGCATGCATTCGTCTGTCTCATCCGTTGCATAACCAAACATCAGACCCTGGAATATTGAATATTGGCTACAACGCGAATCTTGCTTAAAAAGGCAAAATGTCTAATAAGTTTATGAGTTCTCAAAATTTCGCAGAATAAAAAACTTTTCAACACTGAAATAACAATGAGCATTTTACGGATGATTATCTTTCAGTTCACTTAAGCAGCCAACACCAGCCTGACCCATTAAGCATCGGTTCCCAAGGTTAAGTACGAGCGAACAGAAAATCTAAACAGACATCAAAAAAGTGAATAGTGGGAGATCAAAACAGATGAACAGCACATCGTGATACGAAAAGTGGTACAAGTTCGTTGCCAGCAGTCACTCAGTCTCGATGACCGCTCTTCTCTAGTCAGCGAGGCAGGAGTGTCTCCAGTGTTCCCGATTCTGTGCCAGCGTTTCAACTTCCGCAGAACATAATCCAAGTCTGAAGAAGAGTCTGTCGAGCCACTTGTTTAAGGTTACGTTTAACCTGTCCCAGGTCTTCGGCTAGATGATTGAGGATTCGCCTAACGTACTTAAACCACCGTAGCTGTGACTTTTCAGTCTGGATAAGCAACGACTGTACACCAAGGCTTTCTTCGAAAAATTTGCTTCGCACTTTGGCGAGACTACCCAGCAACTAGTTTCGGAAAGATTATCCCATCCGCTTGTTGATTACGTTTGAAAGATAACAGTTTTTCAGTCATGACCCAGACCATGACCACAGATGATGAAGGGCACGAAAATCGACTTGAACACAGCTAGTTTTATCTACAGACCTCAGCTCTGTTACACACGGCCGTTCGGCAGTTCAGGCAGAAAATCACTAGCCATTTTGATTTCATGATTGACCTGTTCCTCCGATTTTTCATCACTAATCAACACTAGTCTCGAGGCATCAAACTTCTCCACCTGCTTCACAGCTTTTCCTCTTAGCTGCAGGGCACAACAAGCAGTGAAACGAGAAATAACAAGGCTTCTCGTTTTAGAAATGTTCGCACCTGTGACGGCAACGTCACACGCAGCTGCTGAGTACCTTTCTACTGAGCGCTGGAGATCGGCGTTAGAAGATACCAACAAAATACGGTCGTCTGTACCAGGAGATTTTTCGAAACCTTCTACTATGATTCAAATCAATTTGTCACCGTGTCCATTCCGACTCCTTGCCCTTATCGATAAGGAATCGAATGACAGCGCCTGAGAATACATAAAATGCTTCTATTCCACATCAGACTGAGCTAAATTGGTTTCTAACAACTACCGTTCAGGAGCTGCATTTGGCGGCGTAATTTTATACATGTATATATCAAGTCTGGAAGGTACCTATCTACAAATTACGGAAAACCGTTTACGAATTAGGTAAAATTTAGTGTTACGAAACCAATTAGATCAAGCTAATCAGTAAATTAAAAGCGATGATTCGTAATAAATCGCAAACAAGTACATACCTGGTCTCCGGCACCTACATCCTCTGCTTTCCGGTTCATATGAACACCAGCCGCAATTTCTGGTGCTTGATGTTCCAAGGCAATCAGCACATTGCATGTTTTATAATCAAATCCTGCAAAAACACATTATATTAACAATATTCAGTATATTAACAGAAACATCTTGCGTGAAAAATAACCACATTTATATATTGAAAAGTCAATCAAGCCTGCGATTACCTTGCAACGCCTTCGATTTTGGACATCTGAATTAAACAACGGTCATGTATTTTGTACCGCTAGGGTTCCCCCATACAACGGTCTTGCCATTTATTTATCTCTTTGTTGTTACTGTCTCTCACGGCGTAATTCATTGAAATTTAGTTAAATCTCGAAGCTTACTTTACTGGTTCATTAATTATTCCCACTTTTTTTAAGATATTACGCATAAAAAATTTACATACCTTTTGAACTATCGTCATAGCCGATTTTTTGTACCACACGTCGTACCAAACTTTGATAGTCAACGTGAGATTTGCTGGAAATCTCTCCTAGAAGCATAACCATGCCCGTTTTCGTTACTGCCTCTGTAAAAAAGTAACGTTAACTGGCATGATCAGGATAGGCTATGGGGAACTGTGTTTACTGGCATCAGCCAACACGACAATTAACCGGCAACTCGATCACCTGCGCGGTCAACTCAACGTTCATTAAATGCCCAAAAATTTGCTAAATTCTTGTTACCACATGCTACTTTCGAGTTCGGGTCTTGAACCAAATGGGCGTCCAGAACTGCGTCACTCACTTGATCGCACAGCTTGTCTAAAAACTCAATAATTAGTAAAAATATATTTCAAAACGAAAAATAGACCCCATTTATTATGCGTTTGATAGCAAACCGCTACCTTTCAACACAGCCGGTAAGAATAACATTTCATGCCAATTCTCGGTATCTACACCGCGAAGCTCACCCACCATCTCCTTGCCTCGGGTATCCTAGGGAACCGTTTAAACAGGTCATGGTTCCATAGTATTTTAGCATTTGCAGTGAATGGGAGCAAAACAACACGATTTTGTTGAGACGAACAAAAACATGTTCGAACACCAACGAAACACTTCATTCCGCAGGTATATGTACGATAAATACCATGGAGACATGGCCTGCTTAGAGAGTCCTACAGGCTATTAGAAGCAAGATGACGGTTCGCTTCGTTGCATAAATCTAGCGAATCGACAGGAAAATGATGCTTGAAAATGCATTAAGGCTTTAAAGGGAAAAATTATTTACATGAAAAAACAAAATTAGCGCGCAGCTAGCGGCTTCGAATAAAATGCTCATCATTTGATGGCTTTTTATCATTTTCGAGCAAGATACAATTCTGCTTATTTTCTTCGATCAATCTTTTACATTTGTGCAGTGAAACCCCTTTTTCCCAATTTACATAAACTTCATACAGCCATTACTGACTGTGGTTCTTTCGCTGTCTTGCTGTCTTCAAAACGTCACGTTCTGCCAAGAACGGAGTTGGCACAACGAATCAACTTTCTACGATAATTCACAACATCATTTACACTTACAACGTAGTGAAAAATCAGACAGCAATGCATTTTGCAAGCCCAAGTATTTTAAATAATGTATCCAGCGCTGCAGATGCACAAACACCATAGAGCCATGACCTGTCTCTGGCAGTCATTCGCCAATTGTAGTCAAAGCTCAAAATACCTAAAACGTGAAGTCGACAAAGTAATATTATATTCATTTTAAGTACACTGTAGCAGCATAGATTCATGCAATTTCGCTCGAAACATTTTTAATTAATTAATGAACAGTAAGCTGTTGTGGACAAGAAAACCGGTATCATAAATGAATATCATTTTTTCGCGTAGCAACAAATAAGGCATACCACCGCTTTTAATATATACAATAAGTGAACTACTGGGGAAAAATCACCTATCTCAATTTTAAAAAAGCAGCAATACCTGGATGTCCAATTCCGACGCTTTCGGACGTGAAAAGAAAAGTTTCGGCTTCACTTCCTACCCATTCGATTATATTATTTTCGTGACTAAAGCTCGCCTCCTGCATTTCGTTCGTCGTTGTTTGCCAATTACTAACTGAACAGTGTCTAAATATGATCAGAAATTAACTAACCAAGATGCTTATTTACACTCTGAATTAGATTTGCAGCCGTTACCAAAAACATTTCGAATTCAGTTACACGTGAATTCCATACATTGGTACATACCGAACATGCAGGCGAATTTATATTAATATTTATCAATTAGCACAAAATTTACTCATTTTAGAGATGAAAGAAAAGTCAGAAATGTCAAGAAACAGCTTCAACATGTGCGATACAAAATTCGTCGACGAAACTCGTACGTTTACCGAAGCTATTCCTTACAAAGTCGTTTCAAACTCTGCAAGTTTGTTTCAATGGAACATAACCAAATCGTTAAATGCTTCTTTTTGGTGCATTTGGTTAAAACACTATGCGTTCACCGATTTTGCCTAGCAGTAATGTCAAAGCAGGGACTGTACCTGGAATGACATCTTTCGCGACAGCACTCGTAATATCTCTAAGCAAAAAACCATCCTACGTTACAACAGGGATCCACTATATTCTAAACATGTTTGCACTAATAAAACCCTACCTTTTTGGTCAATTTAAATTTGCCTTCGTTAATTCGGAAAATCAGACACGCGCATATATTCCGTGAACACTATACACGGTTTGCCGTATTTTGTGATAATTAAGAACAGGTGTGCATGCAGGCAATATTGATGATTGAGAATTGCCAATTATGAATATAATTCTTTCATAAAAATGTTAAGCGAAACTTTGTTGCTTTAGCAAGAGAACCAGAGAGTCAAAATTTTCAATCATGCATAAAATGTGCTAATCACATAAATCAT